TGGTGGTGATAAGGGTGGTGGTGGTGTTGGTGGTCGTGTTGGTGGTGATGCAAGTGATGGTCAGCCATGCTGGACGCTGCTTACCAGTCAGTGGCTTAATATATCGATTCCTGTGACGTCAAACACGACTTACGTCACTCGTATTGTGACCTATCATGCAGCGGCTCCCCCATGATGCTCTTTCAAGTTGATTTTTTCTCTCCAATACCCAAAGCTCGCCAGCTCCAGTTGTCGGCGTGACACTGTTCGTGCCAGCCAATCACGACTTGAGTTTTTGGTGACGACACAAACTTGAGCCAATCACAACTCGACTTACACACTTTGTTGTGACGTCACGGATTCTGGACCAATGACGACCAAGACTTGTGACGTAGCGGGGCATTTTTGTTTCGTCACGGTAATGGCGACCAATGGGGAGACGTCGTGGTCCCGAGTGAGGATTCATGAATGAATCTTGCCCATTGAGAAAGGGTGTGGTGAGTTTTTGGTGAGTATGTGGTGAATGTGAGGTAGTATATGTTTGGGGAATATTTGGTGAGTGTGGGGTTTGTGTGTGGTTAGTTAATGGTAAGTTTATGAGTAAAGTAGCGTCAGTGGGTGTTCAGTACATGGCATGAATTTGAAGTGAGTATGTATTGAATATGTAGTGAGTGTGAGTTGAGTGTATGGTGAGTGTATAGAGAACTGCTACTTATAAATGCTATTATCATTATCTCCAAAGCTCATCGCGTTATCTCATGAGTTTGTCGGGTAATCGCTGGAAATGATCTTGTTAGCTTTACAGTTTATCATCTATCAAGAAAATCGAAACTCTGACCTGTACATTTGACATCACTTGTGAATGGAACTCAAAGATTAGGCAATCAAATTCGATTAATAATTTCGAGGATACAAATAAAAATTGAAAATCTTTTCAATTCAAATACAAGTAAAAAGCGCTTACATGAGGTGACAGAGTTATTTCCTTACGCCATTTTTTTTATTATTTTAAACCAGAAAATTTTCTTTAGGTAATAATTGGTTCAAAAACTCTAGAAAAACCAAACTGAACTTGTCTGTAATCGTTATCCTTATAACCGTTAACAAGCGAACTGAATACCTAACTGGTCACTTATCATTATCTTTACAAGCGATGAAAGACGAGTTGAAACTTGAGTCTGAAGTGCAATACATTTTTTAATCCTAGACAAAAAGTTTTACAAATGCGGGGCGGTGAAGCTAAGAAGTTTGTTTGCTGCTGCAATATCAGGTCCAGTTTACAGAAATTCAATTTCCGGAGTTCATGAGAAGTTGTACTGTTTACTTTTCAGCTGCCGCCCTTAAAAACTCCTCTACACCCAAGAAAATGAGTGAGACTTTGTCCAAATAATGAAGCACGTTTTTCCCATATGAGGGTCATTCCGACCAAGTTTCGCCCTGCAAAAGGGTGTACCAGTGTTACGTCAGCTCTCTGCTCTTTCTTTGAGTAAGGAAGAAATCAATGATCCATTCAACTTTCTCGATGTACTCAACAAGGCATGTGGAAGTTAGATGGGAGTTCCATGGGTGGCCAATGGTTGGCCATCTCTATGTCTTCACTTGTAAACATTAGACTAGAAGTGTCCGGCTAAAGACCATGTTAGAAATCATGCTTTATGCTTTCACTAAGAGTATTTATTTTTCAACTGTCAATGATATTTGATATGAACGTTCGCCTGTATTTGAAGTGGACTTTTATAGTTATTTAATACTAATTATCTTAGATACTATATGGTATAAACAGCATATGTATGGATATATCTTTAGATATATTGTATAGATTGTTTATAGAAACTGTAACAAACATTCAATAACAACGGTCGTAGATATTTGATATGAATAGTCATGGATGCTCGTTACGTAGGTACAATAGATATCGTTTCATCAGCCGTCGTAGAAATTAGATATCTACTTGATATTTTCTCGTCACTTCTTGCTTTTCAAGGACCATGCCTTTATCCTGGTATCCTGATATCCTTGCACCTTGGCCATTACTGCACTTTCCTACTAGAGTTGGGGTGTTAGTCAGTAGTTCAAGTCCCTGGTCTGCTCCCTATTATCATGTAGAAAATTCATGAACAATTAAAGTACCGAGGACATTATAACCCATGAATAAAGTATCATTACCACTATGGATTAGCTCCAACCGTTGTATAAACCATTGAACCGCACTCGCTTCTTTGTTATAGGTGCAGTCACGGCATGGCGCTTGCTCATGATTCTAAGCAATGCGTGCGATTTTTATATGGTAACTCCAATTCAACCTTTATTGATTAGTGATTTTATTAATCATCGCAATTCTGTTTTAAGTTTGAAAGATTTTTAAAAGAATTTAAATTATTGCAATAGTGAAATTCTGCATGTAATCAGTGTCACAAAAAATTGAGCAAATTTGATTCTAGTCGACCGTTGCCCGATCATTTGACGTATGTAATCTAGCCTGTAATTTATATATTGATAAAATTCAATAATAAAAATACATCTATGATTGTTAATATTAACTTATCTAGTTACAAAGTCTACGTTTTAAGTGGTAGGCAAACTATAAATTAATAAGAGTCTGTGATGACGATGTCATTACCAAATCTGGTAATTAAGTCTACGGAAAAATATCCTAGCATTCAACTACTTTTTTTGTCAAGTCTACGGAAAAGGCTCCTAATATTTAACTACCTTTTTGACGAGTCTGCGTTAAACATTACTTAATTAATGGATATTAACTAATAATATTAAGTGATATATTTTGTTTTATTCAAATTTTTATATGCCAATTAGAAGAAAATTAATCTTGTTGACTTCTCATTATTTTGGCTGATAATCTTCGTAGTTTCATCCAAAATTGATTTATAGATACCCTCTGGCCTTAATCCAATTATACGAGCAATATTTCGCCATTTATTGAATTAAAAATTCAAATGCCTATGTGTTTCTTTCAGCTAAATACTTTTTACTATCACAAACTGATAGGTTGAAATAAGCTAAATTATTTAGCCATACTCAACAGTATAGTAACAACGAAGGCGATGTTATTATATTTATAATATCCACTATATTATTCAAATTTTTAATATCCAAAATTTAAATAACGGCACCGGAAACCCATAACTGAAAAATCCGTCATACAAAGACCACAGCGAAAATTCTAGTTCATTCATTAAAAAAAATTCCCCACAAAACTCATATCTAGTTGCAAAGTCTACGTTCTAAACGGTAGTCAAACTATAAATTAATAAGAGTCTGTGGTAAGTAATGCGTGCGATTTTTATATGGTAACTACAATTCACGTTTTTCTTAACTTAGCTTCGCGTTTGTTTGTTTGTGGATTTGTTTGTTGTTAACATTGACAACGAAAATTAGCCCACTTCTGATTGCTCTAGAGATCTGAAATTCGGCATGCAGGCTATTTTTGCCTAACAATTTCAGATACAATCATTAAAACTAGTAATTAGAGACCTAAATTAGCTTAATTGAGTAAAGTATATATATATATAGTATATATAGTATGACGTGTGGGCGCTGACGTTATAGTAGACGAGCAGGCGCTGACACTGCGTATCATCGATACGTACGTCAAGTCGTACTTAATCAAGTCTTAATCGTTTTTCTTGTGGACTAAAAAGTAGAAAATAAATTATGGCTCACCCCAAAAAACGTGGATCGGGCTGTACGTTCACCATCAAATTCCAAAATTCGTGTGTTGTGTGCTTTTTGCTTTAATCATAAATCTGCCCGACACACGTTTTTTTGGTGCGAGCCATAATTTATTTTCTACTTTTTAGTCCACAAGAGAACGTGGTTTAAAAAAAAAATTTTTATGTATTTTATTTATTAGTAATTTTATTAATCATCGCATTAATCTCTGTGTGGGTCCATTTTGCTTTTGTGTGGGGCATCCTTTTTCAATTCTATACTCAACATTCGAGTTAGTTTTTGCAATAATAGCATAAAAATATTTTTATTCTATTCATTCAAATTATCATATACATCTAAATTTAATTAAATAAAAACCTAAACTTTAACACAAACATGATGAACCATCATCACACTGCCAACTCCGTCCTGATTTATAATTGCTTTTTTTATGAGTTTCTTTCATAACTTTGTTGGTTTTTGCTCGGCTTCTGGGGCGCCGCCCGTAAAATATGCATATTTTGGCATTTGCCTCAACCTCCCGTGAACTCTACGGGGTTTTCCTCTTTATTTCGTAAAGTTTTTTTTCAATAATTAGATAAAAATGAGATAAAGGAGTGTTTATCCATAAAAAGTAGATAACTCTAGCTACTGGTATTCTTTTGTATTAGTCGTATTTTAATTATAATTATTATTTGCGTCATAATTAATATTTGCGGCATAGTCATTATTTGTGTCATAATTGTTATTTGCGTCATAATTATTATTTGCGTCGTATTTATTATTTGCGCCATAATTATTATTTGCGTCATAATTATTAATTGCATCATAATTATAATATGTGTCATAATCATTATTTACGTCATAATTATTATTTACCTTTTATAATTATTATTGCCTATTTGCCAATTACTTTGAACGCGTTTAGCTTTGGTGCCACATGAATTAAAATCTTTTTATTATCAGGACCTTTGTATTTATTATCAGGATTTATTTATTTATTATTGTATTTTTATTATCAGGACTTGATTTTGGTAACTTATATGCAAGAACATTTCAAGTATGTTTTGAAATTTCTATACATTTTTTACTCGTATTTAAAGCAATTTTTTGTAAATTCTTTCAAATTTACGTGCATTTCTTTGACTTTTTCCGAAGCATTTTAGGAATTTATTGAGAGTTTGATGTATTTTTTCATACCTTAACCCGAAATTTAGACGGGTGTTTTTTATGCTTCAAACCAAAATAAATTGAAATGTTACCTAGACATTCCACTGCTTACTGCTCTCCACTGCTCACTGCTCTCCACTGCTCGTCTCTTATACACATCTAGATGTGTATAAGAGACAGGCTTAGGGTGCTGGGCTTAGGGTGGTGGGCTCGTGGCTTAGAGTGCTGGGCTCGGGGCTTAGGGTGGTGGGCTCGTGGCTTAGAGTGCTGGGCTCGGGGCTTAGGGAGCTGGGCTCGGGGCTTAGGGTGCTGGGATAGGGGCTTAGGGTGGTGGGCTCGGGGCCTATGGGGGTGGGCTCGGGGCTTAGGGTGCTGGGCTCGGGTCTTAGGGTGCTGGGCTCGGGGCTTAGGGTGCTTAGCTTTGGGCTTAATGTGCTGGGTTCAGGGCTTATAGGGTGTTAAGCTCGGATGTGTGCGCTTATGTGGAGGGGAAGGGGGTGAAGGGTGGAGTGGGCGGTAGGTGAAGGGGAGGGCGCGGCTACCCAAATAACCCTTACTATTGTTGGACATTGCCTAAACCCCCTTAATCAATAACCCCCATCGCCCCCCCTTTCTGACCCCAGTTCCCTTCCTTCACCAACGCCCCCTAGAGAGGGAGGGGGGAAGGGATTTACTAGTAGGTAACGTTATAAGTTTAATGATTGGTAATAATTAATATTACTTGTTCAGTTATTAATTATTGTACATGCCATCAACATTTGATCTGTGGCGCTTCATGCCATCGACGTTTGATCCGTGACGCCTCATGCCATCGACGTTTGATCCGTGACGCCTCATGCCATCGACGTTTGATCTGTGACGCCTCATGCCATCGACGTTTGATCTGTGACGCCTCATGCCATCGACGTTTGATCTGTGACCTCTCATGCCATCGACGTTTGATCCGTGACGCCTCATGCCATCGACGTTTGATC